AGCTGCCATGTGCTATAATAATGATTTTTGCTAAAAAGACCCCATAAGAAAATGAAGTCAGCGGTTTTATTTATGTTAACTGGAGCAAAAGCCGTTTGACTACCAAGTTAAGCTAAGTTAACCGCCCTAGAACCAACTTCGCCTCCCAATATGTTAGCTTGTATTTCGGTAATGAAGACCTGTGAATGGTCAATGAGATTGCAAGCAGCATCGAATATTTTATGAAATCTCATGGTTATGAAAATTCACACTTGAGGCAGGGTACATTTTACCATGGACTTGAGCGTCCAAAATAGCTCATCGACCGTGAAAGCTCCAAAATCCCAAACATCAACTCCCATCGACAAATCCAATAAAGATATTCAATGACAAGGCGTGCAAAAGTCGCACTCAAGTAATGTACATGTAGCGTAATCAATGCCCAACAACTCCAGGAAAAAATGCGTTCCAACGGTCTATTTGAGAATAAGGAGACACTGTTTAAATTCAATTCCAAGACCACCTTGGTATGGAAATGGCTGAAGAAACCACAATAAAAAGATACTACTATAATAAACCTTACCTCGTAGACCCCCAGGTTGCGACTCCTAATAAAGGAAACAAGATCCCTCCTCTCAAAATTGTTAAACTCAAAATGTTCCACTATTTTTTGCAAACAAAGATTCTAAGCAGAAGACAAGAATAGAATGAATTTACCTGACGTATGCTGCACATAACTAGGCATTTTATTAGAAGTTTCCTTCTTTCTTTTGGCTCGGACTAGAGCTGCTTTTTGAAGTTAGTCAGTCAGACCATCATGCAACGTTTAAAACTGCAGAACAGAATACGAGTAAACAGCACTTTTCGAGGTGTCAAAAAAAATGCTTATGAAGTACCAACCTGAGAACTGCTTCCTTTGTAACGCACGGAAGATCGGACCGCTGCAACGCCAAAGGGGCGAGTACTTACGAAGTAGTTCATCTTACGACAATTGCGCTTTCAAATACCTGAAGTAAAAGAATACAGTTATATCCATTTGAAGCATCGTAGTGCACAACGAAAACTCATCGGTACAGTCAGATCATATCAACCCAAACTTGGTAGAAGCGCTGGACGGGGGCTGTAGGTGCTAAAAGCGCTTTTCAACAGTGTACAATTAAGCAGAAAGTGAAGAAACGAAGAAGTGCCAACGTACTGAGACTGGGCAAGCTTGAATTCATTCAACTAGGACTTCCAATAAATTCCATTGTAGTACAACATTCATCGGATTCATGCTGTAAATCAACACTACAACGTTATAGTTTCAGAAGTAAGTGAGTCGCATTGCGATGAGCTTATTATTCCCGCGAAAGGGTAAATCGCCATATTCTTGATTTCCAATAACTATCGATACATCGAACCAGCATATACCGTTTATGAGATCAGTATTCTTCAGCACAGCTCAACAGTTAACATCGGAAGCACTTCGACTGATACCCTCAGGACAACTTAGTTTGATATGTTCTAACAGTAAAACGGAGATATTCAACTTTACCTATTGAATCAGCGCCAGTTTGAAATCCCCCAACAAGCCCTGCTATCAATATAAATGCCCATACAAAATAGTAAGACTTCTTTCGATGTACAACGATCCCCTACGTCCACTTGCAGTATAAACACCAAAATCACAAATACGTGAAAGGAGATTATACACATGTATAAGCTAAAAACAAATGAAAGTCAATATGGGAAACGGAAATCGCAAGTATAGTTTTCACTAGACGAGAGATACTTTATATGTTTCATGAAGTGAAATATGTGTTGAAAAAATAGACCAATCAAACGGTTTGAGCGGAGCAAAACAAAGCAGAGCAAGCAGGCTTGCTAGGGCCAGCGGATAAGCAAGAGGCAAAGGAAGGGGTGGGGTGTGAAGGTAACCGAGCGGGGAGAGGAGGGAACGAGGAGGAGGCCACAACCAAAGACCGCGTCGAAGAGAGTCACGAAGCTGATGCGAGGTCCAAGCCACAAGAGTGACCCAGCCAGCATCTACGATTTGCCTCGCTAGACAAGGCACAGTAAACAAGTGGTGCTTAGCCATAAAACTGCCCACAAATAGCGCCACCACCAAAACCACAAGGCAGCCCGACCAGTGGAGAAATGGCCGTCCGGGGAGGGATAAAGCGGCCTTGACAAATCAAAAGGGTTACGAGAAGATCAACTGATCGATTATGAAGTCTTCTATTCCTCAGAAAATAGCCTTCAACAAAAGAAGATTCGCCTAGAAGTAAATACTCTCCTACACCCACTGTCCCTAAGAATAAGACGTACATACATTTTCAAGCAGATTGACTAGGCCTCTCAAACCAGAGTCGCATTAAAAGCCTGCAATCAATATAACAATGCCTTTTATTCATGATCATCAGCCATCCAATGAAGGGGCATAACCCGAGCATTAAACACAGTTGACACTTACATTTATGGAGATACTCCCGGCGGCGATAAAATGGTCAATGTCCATACTAACTGCAACCAAGGCAGAAAAAAATGCTGACTCCGCTACGAAGCGAAGTGACCTTGGCTCAAGTAGTTCAACCAAGAAGGCAATCCAAAAAACCGAGCCTGTAAAGGCATGAGCAAACGTTTCTAGCAAGAGACTTAAAGACTTCAACCGTTCGTGTCTGTCTAGAGATTGTGACACTTGCTTCAATAGGGACTCCATGATGTAGAGAATAACAGTCACCGATGCAACAGTGACCAAGACAATGGCATACCTGGGACCTAGCTGCACACCCGCAGGAAACACCTTCGAACAAAACAAGATCTAGAAAATGACTTGCAACATTCATGCGCCTTAAAAAAAGCTTAAAAAAGACACTTTTGACATAAAATTTACTACTCTTTGAAGTACATACTAGACGCAATCTACATCGCCATTTTCATCGCCGGCTAGGTCCCGCTCTGCCTGATCAAAAAACCTATTCATGGGTTCATTGTCTTCACCATATTGAAGACACTGGTCTATTTGTAGAAGAAGATCCTCTATAGTCTCCTCCTTATCCCTATTAAGGGGTTGGAATTGGACGAGGCTGTACCGTTCCACTAAACCAGCCAAAGACCGCGTAAGACGAGAAAATCTGCGAGGAAGTGCAGCTTTTGCATCGGTTTCTTCGTCACTCGACGTCTCACAGAGGTCGTCTAGCTCTGGCTGCAGGTAGCGAGAGCTAATTAATTTTTGCTTATTTTCAGATAACATATCTAGCTTTGTCATGACGTTGACGTGGGGCGTTCCAAGACACACCATTGCAGAGAGAGCTGAAAGAATACCCGAGAGAAAGTGGGATCCATCCACGAGAAAGCGAGCGTCAAGTATGAAGACACTGACGACGTGAAAATCCCACTTTTGATGGAGATACTCTACCAGTCGAGGAAAAACCGACAGATGAGTATACAGCTCTATCTGGCCTGGACAGTCAAAAAGGATATAATCCAACTCATCCTCGCCGAGAGCTTCATCAAGCCAATTAAGGTTCTGACAAAGGTATTCCATGCAGAAAATGAGACCACCGTTAGGTCCAAGGTTGAGCTCGTCATCTTGCATTGTATCATCAACCTATAAATGAAATATGCAATGAGCTGGTATTCCCATACAATGGAAAACAGGAAGCCCAAATTTTACTTGGATGAGATCACGAATGTCGGCCGAAGGAGTGTATTCGAAATATTCAGCCGCAGGGTCGAGATTGACAACACGACAGGATCGCCGAATAGTTTCACAATGCCTCTGAATAGTAGCACAGTATGTAGATTTGCCACAACCCGCAGGGCCAACCACTAGTTGCCCATATCTTGGCATGATCCTACAGTAGCGAAGATAGAAAATACGCAAGAAAAAACACTCGCAACAGTGACCTAATGTTTTGCATCATAATAACGCGTGATTAATGGCAAGTTGAACAACAAGGTAGTGAGCGCTTTGCAAAAGTAGATTGAGTTAGTTATAAACAAAACAAGCAGCACAAAAGCCCCAGAGTTTACCGAGCTAGCATGAATAAAGGCATACTAACAGAGTTTATTAAAGTGAGAGCTTATAAGTAGAGCCAACCTAATAGCTAAAAAACATTCCTTGTTAAGAGCGTCCTATGCTTCGTATCATTTAATACTGTTTGAATATGAATACGGCAAGAGCGACTTCACAAAAAAATAGAAAACACCAGCGATGACCCAACGAGCTGACCAGGCGATAAGTGTCGAGACCAACAGGTTTAGATAAACACAGTGCCAGAATTTATACAGAAAGGAAATTGCTAAACAATTAGGATGTGCTCACAGCAAACATCAAACACGTTCCATAAATTATGGCTGCTGCAAAAGTGAAGACACCATTATGGGTACCAAAGGTAAATGATAGACATGGTAAACATAAGCCCTTTTTAACTCATCTCAGACCTTTCGGAAATTATAACTATAAGCTTCCAAGTACATCTCTATTATCTAGCAAGTTTTTAAGATCCTGAAGTGCCCATTTTAGGTTGTATACACTACATCTGGATAGTCAATAACAGAGAAGGAGGAGTTGAGCATTATATGATTTTCAGACGTATCCATATTTATTTTATTATTTATTATTTATTTTGGACCGCAATAGGAAATAATCAATCAACTGTATTGTTCCGCCTCCTTAGTTATCCACCTGTTGGTGATTGGTACGTTCTGGCGTCGTGAGGTCTATTTTGTTTTAGGATCCACAGTACTTCGTTTTGTTCCCTTTCGCGTATTACTTTCTGAATGCCTAACTTCGCCCTTGGTGACGGATGTCTAGGGACTTTCTAAGGCGTTCTTGCGTAATTTTTACAGGCTCAGCAATTCCCTTTCTGAATGGGGAGTGTCTAAGAAATTATAGGAACTATGCTCTCTTCCTGATCAGACCCTACCAATGCTGGTGCTCGCTCACGAGTTTGTCTGTGGGACATGTCTTAGGTTCAACTAATGTGTCTTTCCATTGTCATACAACTCCGAATCATAATGCTACGAGGCCTTTTGTCGGGTACTTTTTCCGGCCGCTTATTTATTTATTCATTGGTTTCGTGTGCATACCATCGCATTACTATTCATCCACGTTTCGGTTGTTCTCTACTCCAATCAATTGTGTGGTGGACTTTATCAGCGTTTATAGATTTTTAAGCCTCTGTTATTTTTGTCCACATTTGGAATTTTGTCGTCTTATCTGTAAGATTTGTTGCTCTCTTACATACCGCAGTACTGCTCTCGGATTATTAGCTGTCTTTAAGGGCAGGTCTTAGCATGGCTTGCTTTCCAGCGATCATGAAGGTTCTTTTTCCATTTCAGTTGGGAAGCTACTCTGATGAATTCGAAACTCTATCAGCGAATACAAACTGCTCAAGAGGAAAAACGATTTTATGAGGCGCATCAGCTTTATAAAACTGTGTATTACCGATGTTCGTTGCGAAAAAACTATGCTGAATCTCTTGAATACCTATTAAAAGGCGCCAATTTCTTCCTTGAAAATCATCAATGGGAAAGTGGAAGTGATTTGGCTTGCCTCTACGTTGATGTTCTCATTAAGAGCAATCGAGAGATTACGGATGTCAATTTGCGTGATTTGTGCAAATTTGTGTCTGACATGCCTTCAACTTGTGTGGATCGAGCCAAGTTTATTTCCAAGTGCCTCTCACTCCTCTCGAAAAACGAAGGCGTTCTTTGTGCTTTTAATGAGTTCCTTGGTCGACAGCTCTTTGTAGAAGGTGCCTTGGCTCAGGCTCGAAGTCGTATCATGCTAGCTGGGGATGGTTATAAGGTGGGATGTTTTCTTATTGAGATGCACCAACGCTACGGTCTTGTCTCTGAAATAGACCTTTTTGTAGCTCAGGCTGTACTTCAATTTCTTTGCGTGAAGAAGACTTCAGTGGCTGCCTTAACTTTCCACACATACACCCGCCACCATCCCAGATTGGAAGCCGGACCACCCTTTATCCACTTTCCTTTGCTTAATTTCGTGTGGTTGCTAATGCTAGCTATTGAGCGAAAACACACTTATGATATCTTCGCATTTCTATGCGCTCAATATCGTCCGCAACTAATGCGCGACCCCAGTTACGCCGAATACATTGAGAAGATCAGTCAAGTTTATTTTGGGGCCCAACGTCAGAGCGATCCCTTTAACGGGATTCTATCAAACCTTGTGCGAATGCTTGGAGACGACGTCGACCTTTTGGACGGTGCTGGTGCAACTGGTTCCGGGCAGTTCTCCTCCTCAAGCGCTATGCATGTCGACGAAGTTGATTGAGACCTGCTTTCTCTCCTCATTTGGCGTGCCTGCCGTTGTACGCGTGATCTTATTTCATTGGTGTTGAACTTTGAAGAAGAAGCAAATATACCTATTCGAGAAAACTCGTTTAGGCCGCTTTATCTCTCTGCATGGTTTCATTTGTCGAAGTGAATGTATCCATATGTCATTTTTTGTTTTGGAAAATAGTTGTCTTGAGTCGGAGTTCTCGTGGCTTGAGGTACACACTTGATGCTGTTTTACATCCTTGAATAATTACTGTTTTTTTGGGTTTTATGGGAGTAGTTGGTCGTCCAAAATTAACCAACTATTCATGTGTACGAGGAGAGGATGGACTACTCATCACTCCAATTTAATTGGATGCCATTCTTCGAGAGGAATTCTCAGCGCCAATTGCACTGCCTCTACAACTCACTCGAGTGTGACTTAGCTCTGATTATTCATAGTGATAAGGTGGTCGTTTAGTATCTGGCATTCTGCCGCACTCTAACCACATGTTCCAGGTTGTGGCTTTACATTTAAGGTCAGGAAGTTCAACTACCAGTTGTGATTCTGCACTTTTTCTTTTGTTTAAACGGATGCATTTTCGGTACCTAGCATCCTGACGCTAATTGTGCAATGTACGCCAAAAACCTCTAAGCAATGTAGGAATCGTGGTTAGTCTTCCTTGCTTTGTCATCGTGTCTAGTAACTACTAAGCAATCGTTCTTTGAGCTTCAGATGTGACTATTTGCAGTTGTTCACCGTTTATTTTCAGGATGTGCGATTTTTTGGAATTGTGCAGCCGTACGCTTGGTGTTGACCAGACTGTGATTGCAAGATTACAAATGTTGTGCATTTATTTGAGCCTTTCTACCAGAAGCTTGGTCTTTTTTGTGGCACTGGTGGGACGACGACTCGTGTTCATCCAATCTTTAGTGTACCTTTGCAACATGATTAGCAAAGTGGCTTAAGGCTGCGGATAAGGTTTGTGTTTAGTGTATTCCAGAGGGCGACACTAGACCTCTTGCAGAGTACTCAGTCAACTCTAGAACTAGTAACTGACTGTTGATTCGCTTTACTATCACACCTCAAGTAAATTCGGACTTATTTAGGCATTCTTTAACTTGAACTCTTGTTTCCAGGGCCAATGGAGTTGGATCCTTTAGCCTCTTGAAGTGAACCGCTTTCTGTCAACCGTCTGAGAGACGTTGATGCGACTTTTTTTGCAATACTTCATAAATAATTTTCGTGAAGAACGCTTTGAGTCAATCTTAAACGCACTTCTCTAGTGTCTCCCTTGAGGCTTCTACGGTCTTTAGTGCTTTTATGAGCATTGGAAACTCTTCTCCTTAACCTTTTGCAAGGCAGTGGTGGGTCTCTCAATGTCAACTGTTTCATTTAAGTAGTCTTAGTTCTTTATCTCTAATAGTGTCTTTAATCACGTGTGAGTTAACCTCAGAACTCTGGGTTTGTTATCGGGAAGTGCAACTCCAAGTTTCATATTTCTGATAGTTTTATTAATGCAATTTTTGGCAGTATTGCTTCTGCATTTGATGCAGCCAACTCTACTGCTTTAGAACTTCAGCTCTATGAACAATTTGACTGAATGGTGGCGTCTTTGTAACCAAAGCAGAAGGCAGTTCTACGCTTTTGCGCTTTCCAAGAGTTTCCTACTTATGTTTTATTAGTCGACAATTCACTTTATGAATGCCGCAATCATCTTCACAAACCCTTTCATTCTCGGATTTTTTGACTGGCTGAAGCATGCTGAGCTGGTTACCGGTGCTATCCCTTCATTGGCCACATGTTTTCCATCATCAGTTTCGGTCTGCCACCTCTGACCAATCACAGTTATGTGCAGTTTCAATTGGTTTGTTTAGACCGACATGGCTCGCAGGCTTGGTTCACTTCCTTTTTGGCGTGCGTGTGCTCTACCTTGCGCTAAGAATTGAGTTCTACCGTGGGGATAATGTCGGTTAAAAGTGGTCGGCCACCTCCTCGTCCCGTGGAAGGTGCTGTCGGTAGTTCACACACACCAACGGCTGCTGACATGGGACTCGGGTTGCAAGCCATCTATCGAGCCTGCTATCGCCTCTATCCCGATCAACCGAGCCCTCTCCAGGTTACAGCTCTGAGGAAGTTTTGGATGGGCGGTCCTGACCCGCTAGACTATATCTACATGTTTTCCAATCCTGGCTCAGTTGAAGCTCGTAGTCCGCCTCACTGGCACTATGTAACCAATGGGCTCTCTGACCTTTACGGAGATGCAAGATTGCATAAGTACGTCTTCGTGTTTTACGATTCCTTTGTGCCTGTTTTGACATCGTTTTGTATATGGTTTGTTCTTTGCTAGGATGGTTTTTGCGTCGCCTAAAGATAGCTTTAATAAGCATTTTCATTACTCCTTCCACTCGCAAATATTTGATGGCTAAAAGCCTGGAAGTGTTTTGTCTGTTTTGAGTCTATTCCGCCCTAACTATCTAGCTTTTCGGTGCATTCTTTTCTTTGTGCTTCTTCCGAATTGTCACGTCCTCTTGGATTGTAAGTTGTTTGCTGGTATAAAGCTTCCACTCACATTAATCGCTGTTAATGTGGCAAATAGAAATATAAAATCTGTTTATTTCATATTCTCTAATCTCTCACTTGGATTTGGATCGACGGGTTTTTGGTAATGCGATCACTCTCGGCTTTTCCTTATATCTCAAACAGTGTTTCAAAATTCCATCGTGGTTTCTAGAACTTCAAGGATTCTCAAGTGTAGCTCACGCCCTGCTGCCAAGATCTGACAAGGCATGCCTACAGCCGTCTGTTTTTACACGACGTAGTTGAAACTGCGGCTAATGGTTGAATACATTGATTAGTCGCATTGTGCACAATAAAGATGACCGCGTGTGCACTTTATCTCAGCTGCTTGGTTTCCGGATTCTCATGCGATTCATTCAATGCAAATATGGCAATATATAACTTGCACTCCACCTGTTGAACTACTGCCCATGTTTCCTCTTGCCACTGTTCCAATCACCTTATTTGTTTTTGTAAAACGGCTGTCTTCAAATACCTACTCCGTTTCTCCTACTACTTACTCTTTGTTGTAGTTCCATTTGATAGACATGGCTATCCTATGCACACTGGATTTCCGTTTTCTTATACGGTCGGCAAACTACACACTCAGCAGTTAAAGCCATCTCGCACAGTGATCATTTCCAATACTTTCTATCCTCCACCACGAGGATTTGCACTTCGACCCATTTTATTATTTGCCTTAACCATCGCCCATCTTCATAGGTTTAATCCACTCGCTCTACCTTCTAAAAAGTTCTTCGTATGTCCACTCTAATCCTTCCTTTTTGGCTTTTATTTTACATCTTTTCCCCAATTTACTGACGGAGTCTCAATGGTCATTGTTTTCAATTTTTAGCAGTATGCCATACAACAGATCATTTTTAGCAAGTATGACTTAATAATTGTACCAATAAATTGGTTTGTCGCTCCAGTAGGAATGTTTCTATTCTGCATGCCTGAGGTGAACCGCCCAGAAGATTTTCCCTTCGATTATGAAGGAATGCGAAATTGTACCGTGTGTCTATGGTTGTGTATGCATGCGCTTGTGTGTGTGACTCAGATTCCTCCCAACAGCAATGGATACGGAGATGTTGGTCTATCTGCCCAAGCGGTCGGCTGGCAGGTTGGTCAGTCGGACAGGTTTCCGTCCCGCCCATCGCAGCACACTTCCTCTTACATCTTTACTAATGCTCGTACAGGGTCGTGGGTGTATGGGCATGCGTGACAATTGATGTTCCCATCGCCCTGCCTTTCAGGCACCTTTCGTTACTTTTTTGCATCCGCGCCGTTCTAGATATTAGCTGTGACAGACTATTGATTGCGCTTCACGTTGCAACTAGAATTGTCAGACGCCGGTGAAAAGTCTTCACTCTGCTTACTTGGTCTTTCGTCAGTGTGGAAAATATTCAGATGTCCATCGAAAACATCCCATTTTAGAAACTAACCGAGAATTATGTCATATCCTTCAAGCTTTTATTGGCAGGCGTTTGAACACGACTTGTTTCTCATCGCCTTCACATTTGAACGGCCTGAGACTGACAAAGGACACCCATGTTTAGCGTCTCTTTAGCGAAATAATACTATTTTCCTAGTTTCTCTCTCGGTAAAACTTCGGTTAATTCTTTTTCTGATTGGAACACCTATCCAAAAAGAACCTCCTCAAACAATTTATTTGCACTCAAAGGGGCTTTGTTTCAAACCACAACTCTAAGATGCTTTGCGAAAATCATATCACTCTGATTTTTATTCCGCGTTGTTATTTCTTTGTGGGTTTATTTCAGAATTGCTCTACTTCATAGGTTCGCTTAATGACGGTAATATAGTGTACCGTACATTGAGATGACGTATCTTATCCACTCTCTGATACGAGTATTTTTCTACGTCAACTTCAGAAACAATTATTAGCTTATGCATCCATGGTATCGTGCTTAAGACTACTTCATCGCATTAAATAATATGGAAGTTTTGAAGAATCCATTTCGTTTCGGATAATATGAGAATGATTAGCCACCAACCGATAGTAGACTATTGCTTAAGAAAATATTTTTATCAGGAGGTATTGGGATTCCGCATGTGTTGCATTTTTTGCTAGTTGCTCCACCTCAGCAGACGGTCCAAGTGGCTTCGGTTTTGAGTTAACCTTTCGCCTTCGTCGGGAGCATGGGGAGAAGAGTCCGCCAACCTGGCCCGCGCACCTGCTGCAGAGTCTGGCGCGCTACGTCTTTCGATCACAGGCCCAGCTACTGCCTGGGGATCATATTCCTTGGCACTGTCCCCTCGATCAGCTTCCCTCTGCTTCTACCAACGGCATTCCTAGCTCTTCAGTCTCTCAGCCCCCAAAATCCACTATGGGTCAACAGCATCAGCAATCAGTGGCCATGGCAGCCGTAGCGGCCGCCGCCTCCTTGATAGCGGCTCAGGCGACAAATCAGGGTGGCGAGTCTATCGATCCGGCC